GATTTATTACATGAGTAATATCTTAGCAAATAGAAAAGACAAGACCTTCTTATTTTATATTTTAGCTAGTCAATATCTGTAATTTGAGTTTCTAATTCATACAAAACTATAGGCTTAGTATTTTGACTTCATAAACATCTAATTTGAACCAGTGTTGCATTCAATGTACCATGTGACACACAAAAATTGATGTTTATCTGTGTTTTTTAAATATTTACGTTTAAATTATGAAATTGAGTAATGTATAGTTCTAAAATTTGAACTATAATCTACAGTTTGGTACCAAACTTACTGACATAAATTCATGAAACAGTAGTTCAGTTAAATTTTGAATGCGAGTTAACAAACGAGATGACATGGCCTTTCACCTGTGACCCATCTCAAAAGGGTCAAAGGACTGATCAACCAGAACACCAAAATATTATTCTTACATAACACTGTTAAAGTTATTATCAATCATTGTTCAAAGATATTAGTCAAAACTAATTTCAAAGTACTCTTAACACTTTTGAATAAATTAGACATAAACAAATTCAAAGAATGTTTTATTTCTTACATAATCAATCTTTACTATATCATTTTACTAATTTTTATTCAGACTTGGCAGTGGCTAAATTACTCTAACCTTGTAATTACAGAATTAATTATAAAAGGATAAATATATTAAAACAAATAGCAGTGTTCTTACACTTACTTACCTCAGCAAAGTAGTATTTCATGTAAAAAGCTTCTCGAGGGCGACCATCATGCTCAAATGAGATACTAGCACCAACAAAAGCATTGGCTACATTAACAACCATAACAATTACTTGGAAGACAGCTGAATGGAGAAAAATCTGACAACATCGTGGAGCTTTGCCACCTTTATTTTCATCAACAGTTACCAGTTTCCAGCCAGTGTCATCTCCCTTGAGAACCTGAAAACAAAAACATACATCAACCTAATAAAGTACCTAATATAGCAAATATCAGAGTTAAGACTGGATTGCCAAGATTAAAATATATGAAGTAAAAAAGCACAGAATTCTTATCTTACCTGTGGGGTGGATTCTGTGGGAATGGTTCCTCGTTCTCCCCACATCTGTTGAAACTGTACTCTGATTTCGTTAAAGGTCTCAGTGATGACAGCAATGAATACATTCTGTTGGAAAACAAAATACTCTTTTATCAAAGATTCGTTCTTTTTTAACAAGCTGTGGTACATTTTGTTTAAACTCAACATTGCAGTTTTACCTTTTACACAGAGATCATAAACGCATATGCACATCAACCAACAGGTGTATAATACACGCCTATAAGTTAATTAGGATCACATTTTATGTATCTTTAACACAAAGCGTGCTAATAGTCTTCCAAGAGACAATATGTTAGAAACAAAACCTTCTTGATGCTAACGACAAATGCTTAAAATAGTTTGTTAAGCCTTACGTAAACATGAGCTTTATTGTGTCTTGGCTAAAATGTAACAATAGGTCTAATGAAGTATGTAGAGTATATAGTTATTTCTTAAACAAGCACTGCACAACCTGGAACAGATTCTAAAAGATGCAAACCACATTAGTTAAGAAGATTTATGCATAACAGGTATACAGTGTAAGTTGGTATAGAATATACATCTGTAGAACACACTTTGACTCATTGTAAATGCAAAATAACAAGAGAATAAACTTATAATTTCAGGAGATGAGTAACATATTTTTCTAAGGAAAAACTAAGCCAAATCTATAATGACAAAATGAAGCAAGTTTACAGTTCCTTAGAAAAAAAAAAATGCCCCCCAGTAGCACAGCGGTATGTCTGCGGACTTACAACGCTAGAAACTGGGTTTCGATACCCGTGGTGGGCAGAGCACAGATAGCCCTTTGTGTAGCTTTGTGCTTAATTTCAAAACAAACAAACAAACAAAAAAACATGCAAGTAAATAAAACAATATTAATAAATATCATGAACAAGAAAAACCAGGATGGTTGCTCGCTGTTAATTATTGTGCATTACTACCAAATAATAAAAATCAAGAATAAAATGAACCAGGATATTAATGGTGCTTGTTCAGTATTAACATGCATTACTACCAAATAATATCAATAAAAATCAAGAATAAAATGAACCAGGATGTTAATGGTGCTTGTTCAGTATTAACGTGCATTACTACCAAATAATGTTAATAAAAATCATGGACAAAACAAACCAGAATATTAATCATACTTTACCAGTGCTAACATCCACAACTAACAGGATTTGATAAATAACCAGAAAAAAGGTGAAAACTAATGTCTGAAGCTATCCAACGATTTTTCATTAATGTCTGAATATTCTTTACCCCCCATATTCCAGTAGAACAGGAATAAAGAAATGTTGTTTAAAAAATATTAACTGTAAGAATTATAAGATATGAGACTTGCTCACATCATGTATTAATACAAAGAAAAAGACTGACCAATAACAGATGGTTTCACAACCAAGTAATATGTGATTACGGCACATCCTAGTATTTCAGAGGTATTCCATGTTTGGCAGTACTTATTAAGTCACTTATACAAGTACGAACAGCTCTTATGTTGTTTGATAATAAGAACAGTACAAGATTGTTTATCTTCCTTCTATACAAAATGTCATATTCTTCAGAAGCTCATCAAACATGCACACCCTTTCAGCCATGGGGGCATTATAATGTGATGGTCAATCACACTATTCATTGGTAAAATAAAAGAGTTGGCAGTGGGTGGAGTTGATTAGCTACATTCCCTCTAGTCTATCACTGTTAAATTAGGGACAGCTAGTACAGATAGCCCTCATGTAGCTTTGTATGACTTTCAAAACAAACCAAATGTTCAGAAACACTTCACTATAATTTCTACCTGAACAGGTACATAAAAAAGAGAGAAGAGAACAAGACCATACTCACTTTCACTAACCATGCCAAGAAAAAGATCATAGTTGTGAAATAGAAGGTAGCTCTCCATGCTGGAAGACTATCAGAAGCCATGTACATTAGGTGAGACCAACCCTCCTGAGAAGCTGCTTGATAAACAGTAAAGAAACTGTGTGCTGGAAAGACATACATATGGAAATTATTATTAACGGTAAAGAAACTGTGAGCTGGAAAGACATACATACGGAAATTATTATTAACGGTAAAGAAACTGTGAGCTGGAAAGACATACATACGGAAATTATTATTAACGGTAAAGAAACTGTGAGCTGGAAAGACAATTTCCGTATGTATATTATTAATATATGCCTAGAATATTCACAGTGACTAGACATTTTTCTTTTACTTATACTTTTTAGTTCTCAATATGTTTATGAGTACACGTTTGTTGATAGAGTACTTAAGTGTATTTACAAATGGTTAAGTGTTTTAATTTTCATATAGCACTACAATGTTTTATTTAGTCAATCATGTCAGTTCAGTCTTAACTTACACTGTTTAAGTTTCAGCCCATCTGGCACCAGCTACGTACCTGAAAGTAGGATCCTAAATCATAGTAGGTAGGCAAGCAATAAATTATAAGCATAAGGAAAAGTTTTATTGATGCTGAAACATACTACACATTTCAACAGAACATTGGTCTGTCTTCTTACCTGGAGAAGACAGACCAGTGTTCTGTTGAAACACGTAGTATGTTCCATAGTCAATAAAACTATTGTCTGCCTACCTATTATTATATTAGCATAATTTTTTTTTCTTACTCGAGTATCCTAAATCATAAACTTAATATTCCACATCTACCGATTTTTATTTTGTTTACATGATACACACAATTAAGCATCAAAATACTAGTGATAAATTAGATAAGTTTGTTACGCATAAGTGTGTCTTCAATATGTTACTATACAAGTGACAGAAAAAAAAAAAGAAAACTGATAATCCAATAATAGTTTCTACTAGAGCCCCCAAGAACAAAATAATGAAATTAAAACATCAAAACAGAAAAACGGCTCCAGGGAATTTAATCCTACACTAAAAATGAAAAAAATATATATATATTATAACATACAACATTCATTAAAAAACTCATTAATTTCGAAATTACCAAATTGTTTTTGTTTTTATACTATTTCTTATCATTGGGGTCTACATGCCTCATCATACTGAGTAATTTCATAATTCTGCCTGCAACAAACTGACCAGAAAAAAGGATTAGATGAAACAGCTTATTTACACAGCAGAGCATGCAAGTAATTAATAAAATTAATTACAATGTTGATAATTTGTTGTTGTTTTTTGTGACTCATATACTAGTTAGGAAATCCTTAATCAACAAAGTAACACAAGCAATTTCGTGCATAAATAGTTTTAGAAAGTGTGATTAAAAATGTCATTGAGGTTGATATAGAACTTGATAAAGTATTCTAGGTCTAAACACGTTTTTTTAATGTTAATTATAATATATGCAGTTATATCTGTTCTCAAAACTTACCAAAGTCATCAAAACCTTTGTAGCCAGAAACATTTTTGGCAAGGTTCAATTCCAAACATACCATTTTAAACAAAAATTCCAAAAGTAGAAATTGAATTTTAATTTGTGGCAGAAATGAGGCTTAACAGTTTTTGTTTTTTTAACTGATTTTTTTTTTACAGTTGATATAACAATGAGATGAAGTGAATAGCATATTTTATACAAGTTGTGACAGTCACATAGAAGTCTTCTCTTTAGTATGATAAAAGGTTGATGTTTAGTGTTTTTTATTTATTTATTGGAAATACATTTGTACAGTAAAGAAGATAACCAGCTGTTTCATAAGTTTGAAATATTTGGATGGTGCACATTGTAATTTATAACTTTCTAGAAGAATTTGCTTACTGTACCATTCTACTATAATTTTCTAATAACTTCTCTAGCCACGTCACTCTGAATGACCTAGCCATTCCCGATACTTACTGTTCCAAAAACCCAGACTCTGGCTATCAATGTCCTGAGGGCAACCTGTATTTATAATTTTTTAAGAATCCAAGTCACATAATTTGAATTATTGGAACAAATAGACTTAAACACAAGGTAGAAAGTTGCATCTATCTTAATGAAAGAAAATATTCGTTCTAAAAATGTGAAAACTCAAGCTTAATTTTTACCAGAAACTATGTTAATAGTCTAAATCAATGACTGCAGCTCATACAAGATTACAAATGCATAAAACTAAATTTTTCAAATATATAGTCTTTCAGTATGAATGAAACATATTTAAGGTATAACAATAAATAAAGTTGGATTTCCAAAATCACAGGATTTAGAGTTGTCTTGAGCAACAACAAAAAATTAACAGGGGGGGGGAGATAGGATGCTTAATAAAATACCTTTAACTTAAAATTTAAAACATAATGTATATTAAGACTTAAATAATGTTATTTTAAATGAGTATTAGAGATTTTGATACACTGAGTATTTCTTTTAAAGTTCAGACAATTAAATTTGATCAATTATGCCTTTCTGAGTGTTAGTGTGAACCGATTAACAAACACTACATAATCTTGAGTGATATAACTCACAAGTGTGTGTGTTAAGACAAAACAGGACATCAAACTATCAAGACCCTTACTTAGGATCTGTCCCATTCACAACACAGTGGTTGGATAAATCTCCAAAAAACTGCACCCCCAACAGTCCATACAGTGACATAAAGAACAAGAAGAACAAGGTGACATTGTAGATTTGTTGGCTTGAACGTCTGGCAAACAGAATTTAAAAAAAAAAGCATGTGAAAATTATTGAACTCACATAATTTCTTATTAAAGTGAATAAAGAAAATTAAAATAAACATTTTCAATCAAATTTTTAGAAATGCATACATGGAGGTTATTTTACAGAAGTTTGTTTGGAACTGACCAAACAGAAATGAGAAAGCTGGATCATAAGTTAACAGCTATTTAAAAACTTTCTTTATCAACTGTCATAATAATAATGAAATAATAAACCATACCATATTTATTTGTAAAGCTATAACAATAAAATCTAGTTTCACTTATCTTAGGATTAAATTTGACATCACTGAATTTAGAGGTTTGTATTAGCAGCTTCTACATTTTAAAAAGAAATTCAAGACACTTATGTCTAAAACAAACTCTTTTACAAATGTTAAATGTCTATAGTAGTATCAGTTTTCGTCCCCATTTCTTTCACTTTAGTATATTTTTTTCTGGAGCTGGAGATGTTAAGCACACACAAAACATCAACACGGCCTATAAACAACATATTCAATCATACATTCAGAGCCACAACTGATAGCATACAGCTTACAATGCTATTTCCTTCTCTATTTTAACTTATAGTGACAGACATGAAGCAAAACAACATTCCACACAACATAAAAAGTCAGTCAGTAAGGCTGTAATGTTGCAATATTCTATTTAAATTTGAAGCTTTGAACAGCATAAAACAGTACCAATTTTACAACTAGCTCTTAGATAAGATAAAATACTGGTACAAGGCTTTTTTTAAAGCAAGCCATTTGAAGCATTTTGGAGACATCTTATACAGTAACTGGCCACATTATTTAACATCTTTGTGATGTATATTACATACACCGTATACAATGTAAAAAAAAAAAACTACATTTTTCCATATAATACAAGCAGAACCAATACAATAAAACTAAGTTAACAGTCTGAAACAACAACAAAAAGAAAAATTAATAATTTTTTACATCAACCAAATTGTATGCTGACTCCGTTAAAAGCCCTTACAATGACAGAGACAAACAACGTTTTTACACCTTACTGTGGATCTATCCTATTCTCAACACAGTCCATGCAACTACTGATGCTATTTTGATAAACATAAAAGGTATATTCAAATACAGCATGCATCTTAAAAAATATATGCATACACATTTGAAATCTAAAAACTTCGATAATACTTTCAAACCAGACAGTAGGTCTTACTTGAAAATCTGGTTGATTCTGGACTTCGGCATAGAAAACTTTAAAAAAACTCTAATAAACCGAATCATTATCAAAGGCCTTGGAGCACGAAGAATGGAAAGGTAAGAAAACCTTGGCACTATGTGTGTCATTTCGAAAATCTACTCGAAAGAAAATTACACATTTAGAGATAAAATCCACAAAACAAGCTATTTTATTCTTTTTTTTTCATTACATAACCTATTATTTTCTTTATCCCTGAAAGAACTTGTAATAAACTCTCAGTAAATCTTCTATATAACAATGTAAAAAACTTTTACAGCTGATATGTTTTACAATAAAAACACATACAGAAGTACTTATTATGATTTCTAAGCAGTACATATAAGTTCATCTGACATTTTATATTTAGATTATGAAATGGGTTAATTTTACAAATTTAACACTAATTTTGGTATGGTTTCAGAAAAATAACTATATATTTTTTGCAATTTGTAATTGATTTGTTTGGAAAACCTATCTTACAAAATATTATATATATAACCCTGTAAGATATGCCAAGTAAGAAAAAATAACTGGGTTGAACCAATTAGTTTCAAAACAGAAAATGGATGCAAAATGAAAAGATTTTATTAACTGAATTTTGATTAAGTTGTTTTTTTGAAGAAAAAAAAATGACTTCAATTTCCCATTAAATCCTCAATGTACGTATATTTGTCAACTGGTTTCGACCTGGAACAGCTTGAAGAAATATTTATGAGCTGCAGTATGATCGAAGCTAAAAGTAAGCATAACAGTGAGATGTAGTTGAACGTTAAAACAGTCTTAAATACTTTCTTACTGTGAAATAGCATAAAACTTTGTGTTTACAAAACTTTCATTACATACTGGTATTCAGGAGATACTACAGCATTATTAATTGTTTAAAAGTCCCTGTATATTTTGTGATCTGAACCTCAACCTGCCTCACACTAATACTAAAACTGAATACTATATGTACAGTAAATATTTCCAGTGATTTCCACTTCAACAACAGATGGTCTTCATTTGAATTTCAAGTGAATAATTTGAAAATATATGGTTTACATGTGGATTTCTTCTTGAAACTACCCGGAATACAGTGGATTACCGAATTATTTTCAAGTTGAATATCTTTTCAACACTGGTTAATTAAAAAAAAATACTATTGAAACACGTGCAATCTTTTTTAAATTTAGAAAAGTTTTATAATCAATGACCTTTAATTGGAAGAACAGACCTGTAAAATCACTGATATCCACAGAAAAAATACCATCGTTGCATCAAACTGGCACCACCTGTCCTTCAAGTAGGGAGCATCTCCCTAGTTAACAAAGTTCAAACTTTATTATGAAGTCACATTTATTTTTATTACACCTAAGAATATCATTCTTGATTGTACAGAAAAAATTAACTAAGAACATTTTACCCACAAAGCATTTTATTCTCCAATAAATTAAAAATTAAATATCCAAAAACACAATATTAAAAGTGCAAGTACACAGAAATAAATATAATAGCATTTGAAATAAATATAAATGAAAAATGAAAGACAGAGTTGATTCTGATTATACCCTACCCCAAACATATAATTTGTATTTTACATTTCTCTGGCTTTATTTAAAAATATACCTGCTGTATGATTATGCTATTGCTACAGTTACCCCACACAGTTTGTTTTGTTGTTGTTTTTTTTTTTTGGGGGGGGGGGTAATTCGAATCCTTATCATACCAAACACGTTAACCCTTTTCAGCCATGGAGGCACTATAATGTGACGGTCAATTCCACTATTCATTGGTAAAAGAGTAGTCTAAGATTTGGCAGTGGGTGGTGTTCATTAGCTGTCTTTCCTCTAGTCTATCACTGCTAAATTAGGGACAACTAGTGCAGATAGCCCTTGTGTAACTTTGCACAAAATTCAAACCAAACCTACAATACATCACTAATGCCAGATTTGATACATAATTTGGCACCTCACTAAAGACTACAAATATTCCACGGGTTTAGTTCATGCCCAAGATAAGTCATATTATCTTATCTATTTCCTACCGATGTTTAAAAATCGTTTTAATTACATTTCTTTTCTTTTTTTCGGGGGGGGGGGGGTAATGGTACGAAAGAAGTGGTGAAAACTTAATTATTTGGTACATATACTTATCGTATGATACTGAAAAAAATTGATGGATTTTCATTATCAATTTTGGTATCATTTGATAGCTATGGTACTGTAGATAAGTTTTTTTTTTCTCTCTTTCTTCCTTTCAGATTTATCAGGTAAATTCTTAATCTGATAACACTTTACATTTTTCCAAGTAATAAAATACTTCGATGTTAGGCTATAGCACTGTTCATCAAGATCTTCCATGTAACTCTATAAACCTAGATGAATATATAATATCTTACAGACAATGCTACAGCAAAGTTACTTACCCTCACACATTAAAAACCACGTATAAGTTCAAATTTAAAATCAATGAATTCTTAATTAATATCAACATATGCTTAACATGAATCTTAGAACATATGACATTTATTACGGGTGCATTATTCACAACACTCAACTACTGTAAAATCCAGCTCCCTTTTGATTCTCAAAAATACAACAACAAAATTTTCACAGCATCATATTGTAGTTATAAAAACCTTTAAAACAGCATATAATTTAATATCTTCTTATATCTAAATAGCCTACATAAATAAGTTCAGTAAGAGAATAAAAAATTTTATTTAGTTTCCGTTAATTCTAATCAGATTCATTATTAGTATGTACAGAATTTACGTTGTTAACATTATGAAAATCATCAATATCGCAGTATAGATACAAAATATGTTACAGTTATACCAGCAGTGGCACGTGTATTCAAGCTACATGTAAAAAAAAACACTTAAAATCACTTACTGTAAGCACACCACGAATGTGCATTTTGGCAATCATTTCTGATGTGAACAACAGGGTGACGATAGCATCACTAAAGAATGTCACGTGAATCAGAATTGGGTATTTATCAAAAGTGTGTGTGGTATTCAGGCTTACTGAAATCATGCTAATCAGGGCACAGACTCGAAGAAGTCGGCGAACCCATAACTGGTATAAACAAGTGATGAATAAAAAGAAGTAAGAGCTTAAAATGTATATTTTTTTATTTTGTGCAGTTTCTAAAAAATAATCACTAATATGCTTCACAAAAATAAAACACTTGTACAGCATTAAAAAATACAGAAAGATACAAAGTGACTTAAGTTTAGATTATACACTTCATTACATCTGGATTTGAATATAGTTTTCTACTGTTACGAAAAGAAAACTGAACATTTTATTTATGCTACAGTAATTTACAAATAAAACAATGAAATACTACTTTAGCCTTTCATCACATCATTTGAGGGCATCTAATAGTAACAGTACAAAAACTGTGAAGAAATAGTTCACTTTATGAACAAGAAGTTAACGAAAAATGACATTTTAGTAAATATACCTGAAGATTTATTTTTAAAAACATATAAAAATATACTTATTGAAAAATATATAAAAATGTTATTTCACTCCAGCAAATCTCTCAAAATGAATATGTGCTGTTTTCTGAATAAAAAATATGAAGCTAGGCATTAGTTGGGGCTACAGACCAATGTAAAAAGAAATATATAGTTACCCACTAGGTGAAAAAGATATAGAAATTAAAAAATGGTTTAAACAGTTGCCAAGTTTTTTTGTTTTTTTCATTT